GTGGTTAGAGAGACCCAATTATTTCTTGAATTCATGATAAAGACAAATCATTGGTATAACAGAAGATGCTTACTTTTCCTTTGCTGTGTAATACTCTCATCTAAACAATGAGGAGTGTGAATAATTCATTCATTTATTTGACAAGTGAAAAAAGCCAGGCAAAGTGGCTAGGGACATGTAACAGAATCAGAATGAGAAAACAGGTATTTTAGATTCCTAATCCATAATTATTTTCATAAGACATACTGTTTCCCCTTTAAAGATCAATAACATATGAGTAAGTATGTGGTAACATCAACTTATATCACTTAGTCAGGAAAATGTGTTACCACATTTTAACTCTGATCTGGAACTCTGATCTATAAGTTAGCAGTAGTAAATATTTCATTAACAATTATTCTGCTTGCCCTTTTAAAGACTATAAGAACTTTTTTTGCTAGATAATTTAGATGGCTCAAGACTCCTAAAAACAGTTATTCATGAATATATTGAACTGATGCCATATTTTTCCTTTGAAAACTTTTCCTACCTCAAGAATATTTTCTTCAGAAAGAGAAAATATACATACCACTTTTACACATGCCTGAGAACTCATTTTTTTTTAAATTTTTGAAACTTTTAATTCATATTTTGGTCTTACAAATGATCATTTAAATTGACTCTTCTGTAAGCATGTAAAGCATAAAAATTTGCTAAATATCAGATAAATACAAATTCTCAAGGCTTTCTGTGTAGTCTTCATTACCATGAATCTTTGTGTGAATGTTTCACTTTTACCTAAGACCTTGAATCCGTTTTACAACAATGAAGCCATAAAGTTTTTACACAACTATAAACTATAACATTTCTATTAAAAGAAAGCTGAGTAATACAAAAATATGAGAAGATTTGAGGAGCAGGCAATCTGTTGAGGTTCAGGATATCTTATTTGGCTATCTACACAAATTTGTAGATGAACGAGTTTCTTGAATTATTTTTTCTTTGGTCTTATATGCCCAGAACAGAATCTGGAGGACTGGATGAGTAATTTGATCACAAAGCTATCAGTGTTGTTAGTTTTGACAATACTATACTTTTCAATATTTATTTTTCTATTTTCCACTGCAGATTTACTTAAGATCTACTTCTTATGCCAAATTCTTTCATCAAATATCCTTGTGAATTTATTTATGTTTCTTGATGAAAATTTTTGGGATATGGAGTTATCCTTATCCATCCACGCAAGGCTAAGAAATTGCTTGACCTTCAGACTTAGAAATTTAGAACTGCTTGATTTCACTTTTATTCCCAGTTCAAAGTACACTGCCTGAGAAATTTTCTAAATAAACATTGGTTCATTGAATGATTTTTCATTACCTCTGGAAACTTTTTTCCGAGATAGCCTACCACATATATATATGGTATATAATCAGCAAGTGTAAATAGATATAACATTTAAAGCATATCCAGGTACACAGACTGAGAAAAATATTTTAAATGGTAAATCAGATTTTCTAGAAATGATTGCTAGACAATCATTAATGAAGATGGATATTTAACCAGACCAATATACCTGTGTGGAAATACAAATAGCTAAATACGAGTGTCTTATCTACTAAGCTACTTTGAAAAATATTATATTCAAATATTTAATGGATTTTTAAAAAAATTTACTCTTTGCTATTCATTTTCTACTTGTACATTCAAAAGACCTACTTTACTACTGTTACTATAACACAAACAATATAATTTTGTGTCACAACAATGAGATCCTATCACTATAATGAAAATAGCAACTATAATGGATTTGGTTCATTGCAGTTATTGTGCTAATTCTAAATATACCAGCATTGCTATAGATATTAAACTCTGAAGTCAGAAATTTTTCTTTTACAAAACTTGGATTACAAGTAAATATCAATGGTGTACTATAGAATAAGAGTACTTCCAATAATGTGGCACAAGCATATTAAGTTGTTTTTGTCATTTAAATAATCCATGATTATGTTCATCAACTACCAAAACAAAATGTTACTATCAGTACTCAGACATATTTTCTCTTGGAATAAAGATTTCTCATTTTATTCTGAGATGTGAAAGGTAATTCAGGATCTTACGCTGCAAAAATTAATTAGTGACACCAACATTTTCTCACAAATAATTGCAGTTGATACTTTTTGCCATCTTATGGAATATATGTTCCCTAAAGACATCAGCCTGGCCCTGTGTAGTTTCCAGTTCTGCAAGTATTACATAGTTATATTTAAGCAGAGCACAGTGCTTTAAAAGACTCATTGCTAGGAATATACCATCCTTTTCTTTCCTGTATAAAATAATGTTCTTTTATCAAGAAGAAATTAACATTAAAAATCAAGAACTTAAAATTATAACCTCCAAACTTCTCCCCACCAAGACAGATATGCTGACATAGACTTTGGCAACAGGCACACACCAAGGGTCTCATATGTTCTCCTTCAGACAATTTAAAGAAAGGAAAACACAATAGAGGCCCACATTTTGCTCTGCTTTTTAAAGAAAGGAAGCTCTGTGTCTCTTTCTAAGGAAATTTTGGAAAACTATTCTCTGTGAATTAATGATGAAATGACCCTGTAAGTCAGAAATAAGTCAGAAAAATAGTCTTCATTAATAAAGCAATGTAAACAAAGAAAATAGACTTGAATTTACTAGTTTAGATTGGAATCACAAAATATGCCTAACTTAAAATTAACTTTTAGGTTCTGTTACTAGAAACCTTCATAGACCACAGATAGTTAAATATAGCAAACTGAGACAAAAAGTGAAGTGTCATAGAATTAGACCACTGAATTGTACACCAAGGGAGTAAACATTTATTATGATTATTTTCTCATTAATTTTGAGTGAAGCATAAATTGAGATTGAATTTATATATAATAAAGCAAATTTTGGCTTGTAATAGGGTGTGCTTATTATGCCAACTTCATAAGAATACAAAATCAAATTCTGAATTGGCTACTAGAAAACCAAATTCCTCCAAACGGTACATGCTTTGCAACTCTTAGACTCAGAGAAATGTAGCTAGAGAATCTCATCTCCTCAGGCAGAAAGATGAGGTCTACTGTGTACTTGTGCTGATGTGAATTTCAGTACAGCACTGTGAGAATGTATTCATACTTACTAATGCATTGCATCATGAAATGAAAACATACTTGGTTTTATGCCTTGCTGTTATGTTTTTTCCATTTTTCCCCTGTTCAAAGTTCCTTCTCTGGCAGTTTTCTAGCCGAATGAATTTCTAACCCAACATGTTTGCCTTCTAACAAGCCCTGAGGCCCACTATCCTTTCTTTTTAAAGGATCAAAGAACACTGTTCTTCACAATCTTCCTCAGGAATTAAAACTGCACTAGAACCCACCAGAAAACTATAAGACAAAGGGCTTGCTTTTTTCTTTATTCGAGGACAGAATAAAGCTTACTTTTTACTACCTATTTTGCCACTCATTTAAAAGTTCATTTCTAGTGTATAATATTTCTTGTAGAGCAGGCTACACTTTCCCAGCCCCTTCAGAACCTCATTTTAAAGATTTTTGACTACAAATTGGGAAGATATATAGTAATTTATGCTTAAAAAAAAAAAAAAGGAAAGGGAAATTTACTTTAGATTTACCTAGTCAAAAAGAATTAAAAAACCCAATTAAATCATACTCAAAGCTAGTGTATACAAACTGAAGACTGGTTAATAAATCAATCTGTTGGATAGTAACTTGTCAACACATTAATTAGTTGTATTAGAAGCTAAATAGATAAAATGCAAGAAAATAAACCAAATGCAAATGGCAAAATAGGAGTAGGAGAAAGGCTATAGCTAATGGGAAATGTCTACAAAAATAAGCAAATTTTACCTGTCATCATCTTGCGAGAACTGCTTTTGCAAATCCTCTTTATTCCACTGTTCTTTTTCTTTCCCTGGCTCAGGTGTATCTGGTGTTCTTTCCTCCTCTCCTGATTCTCTCTTTTCCTCCTTATTACACATGTTTGCACTGTCTTTCCCTTTCTCTCTCTCCTTAGTTCTTTCCTCCTTCACCTCTTCCTCCGCATGAACTATCTCTTCATGCTCATCCCCTTCTTTCCCTCCCTCTTGTAGTCCCTTCGGCCTTTTGAAAGCAACACAAATTGAAGGCATGCAAACAAACACAAAAAAGAAAGACAATGTTAAGAAAAAAAATACATACAAAATTAAATAGAAAAGTAATGAAAATTACTAAAACATAGATAAAAATTACATCTTTTAAACACTGAAAACTTTTTTTCCAGTGTATAACAGAGAAGCACTGTGTAAGCAACAGTTAAATCAAAATTGCTTTTTTAAGTTGTGTTTTCCTGTTATGTTACAAAGTTACCTGGAAAAAAGTTGTGGTTTCCCCATTACTGATTTTTGTTTTGTTTTGATCCAACAGGAGTTAAAAAAAAAAAAAAACAACTAATTTAGCTTAGGTGCCCATAAGGTCTATGGATGAGGTGACAAATGAAAATTATACTAACATACATTTATAAATTTTTTGGAGAAACTTCCATGCATTTATAAAAGTTTCAGGAGGACAAGAGAGCATCCTACTAAAAAAGTAATGTTGTGTTTTCTTAATCATTGAAATGTGTTCATCTAGGAAAAAACACCTTCCAATATGATTTTTCATATTCCTTAGAATGTTAAAAACATTGAAGTCTTCATTTAACCATCCCTTTAATCTCAGTAAAAATACAACAACAGAATTACTTTTTCAATAACAAACATGAAAAATACCTAATGATACTATTTCAAATAATCTAGTAAGAAAATTATTATAAGATTTCTATAAAACTTTTCTGTGCAAAAAAGTATGAAATGTAGACCAAAATATAATAAAAAGTAATCACAGAAGTTGTTTATTGTCTTCATGATATATATTAACCATTAGAAGGAAAGGATTTTACATTTATCCAAAGAAAAATAGAGATATTCTAAAACATATTTAGAATTTCCTTCTTAAAGTCCCCCTACTCACCTGATTTTCTTGTTTCCTCTTGGCCGTTCTGATTGGACAGACATGTAGCTTGTGCTGCTGAAACGAGAAGCACTACTAGTCCTGGAAACCGCAGATATATCACTTACGTCACTGTCCGAAGATTTAGTGGAAATATTATCTGCCCCTCTATGAGGATCCCATCCTGATCGATACTGTTAACACAGATTGACAAACACGCAGAAGTTGTCAGTATTACCACACAAAGCAATTATTCGCTTCTCCTATTTCAGCACTTTAATTGTCCACAGAGGATACTGCAAAACCCCACTCAGTTGCATATAAAACAAAAGTGAATGGCAATTATCCTAAAAGAAAAATTCAATTTATATGAAACCCTTGTTTTCAGCAAAGTCAATTAGAGCATTTTCATCACACCCCAATGAAGGCCATTAAAACAGTTTCACAAAAGCAATGGCCTCAGGGAAGAACATTTAGGTAAAATCTGGGAAATAAATATTTGGCTTAAAATTAGGAAGCAAATTTTTTTAAATTTCTGAATAAAATTTTTTTAAAGCATGATGAAGTTGCCACTGTAACTTATGAAAACCAATTTTAGTAGCAAAAATTTTCTCTTAAATCCATTATGCTTCAGTGAAAACCTAGAGGTAATACAAAATCTAATTATTAAAACACTAACTTTTTAAAGAAAGGCCAAGAGAAAAGAGAAAGTTTAATTTCTGAGTGGTTGCTGGAATTTTGATGAATCCTAGAAATGCTAGAAAAAGTCATTATTATTTATGATAATTCAAACTTCCTGAAATTGAAATAATCAGATGATTATCTGGCACAGCCAGGGTACAGGGTGTTCAAATATTCTGGTAAACTGAAAACCATCATAGAGGCTTTATGTTGATGATATATGGAATGTAAAAAAAGGATAGATTTTGAGGTCTTGAAAACCTGGAGTAAGGAAAACTATTACTAGCTGGGTAAACTTGAGCAATTATTCCACCTTTAAAATCCTGTTTATAAAATAATAGGGAAAATAATATCCTCCTTGCAGCATTGTTTTGTTCCTTGCAGCATTGTTTTGAAAATCAGAAATAATACATGCCTGGTATATGGCATAATATAAAATAATGCAGCCAGTATTATTACTGTACCATTATTACCTGATGGCTATTATTGGGCTAAGAGACTATCTGCTAATGGATTTTTCTTTGTTAATATCTACTTAAACATAATGGTAAAAATTCTTACCTGGTGAATTTCATAATGGAGACTTTTTAAACCATAGATACTGGCAAATTTAACAAATCATTAAAACAATGATTATCTTAGGCAAACCATTTACTGTGACTTGAATAATCATTACCTAATAAATAATCCTATACGAGTAACAATTCACTGAAAATATTAGCTAGATAGAAATACATTGGTAAAGCAAGTTGAATGGCAATAGTGTATAGCATAAACATTAATTAGATCAATTCAAATGATCTGTTTCTCCCCCTCAACCGTCCTCATCTCTCCCAGTATTCTGTTAAATATTTTTGAGTTAATAACTGATCCATTTCTAAAGGTAAAATATAAGAATTATTTCGAAGGTCCACAAAATGTTATAATCAAATCTTTATCTGAAATATATAAATTAGGTGAATTATGGCCTTTCTAAATCCACTCTAACTTTTGACTTTGTTGGAATTCTTGATTATAAAAAAAGAGTAAAATTCCTTAAAAAATCATTGCCTTTTTCCCAGGAAATATCTATGTAAATAGGACTATTATATTTGATTTTAAAAGAAAGTCTGTTTATTCACAATGCATTTATTTAGAGAGCATTCAGTCCATGATATTGTTTTTTCAAACTAAAGTCATTTTAAAATAATGAAAACAATTTACTTTAAATGACAATGGTTTCGTCATTGCCCAGAATAGCATTTCAATGGATGGATCCAACATTATCTATGTAAGCCAGTGTATTAAAAATAAATACATATACACACGTCCACACACAAATAACCAGTATACTGGCTAGCATAAATAATGCTGGATACACACATATATGGATTTTTTCCATGAAATTTATTAAAAGTAAATTTGATCTCAAATGGAAGTATTTCATTTTCTTTATATATTTTTGGGATACTTCATATATATTAAAAATGGACAATAAGAAACTTTTCAATATTATTAAATTGTTCAATGGATACTATATTGTATTGGTGGAACTTTATCTTTCTTATTCTTTTTTTAATCTTTCTTATTCTTATAATTTATAATAAAAAAGAGGAGCATATTGCTATTTATATCTTTAAAAAAGAAGATCATTTATTTATCATTGAATAGAAAAGCAATTTTTTTCTTTGTTTTTACTCATGGGATTATTATATTATCTAAATTCAAATGATAAGCCATACTTTTAACTCAAGAAGTACTAAGGGTAAATGTAATCATTAAGAGTGCATGCTCTGGAATGACACTGAATTAATGGTATGAATCCTGGTTACGTAAATTATTAGGTTTGTGATCCTGGGCCAATTGCATTTATGAGTTCCAGTTTTTTATTTGTTAAAATATGGAGAACAATCACACCCAATTCCCAGGTTCGCTGCAAGGATGAAATGAGATAATGCACATAATGCACTTTGCACAGCACTGGACACCTAAGAAGTGTTTAATAAACGAGAGATGATGACAGCGATGATGACTGCGCAGCAGCTGGATCCTGGTTTAGTATCAACTCCAGGAACATATCTACCAAAAGAAATATCAGGTAAAACACCCAACAGGAAGTTTATTATTTTAAAACTGCTCTAAACTACAATAAAAATATAATTATTTCTATGTGTAAGAGTTTCATTTCAGAAAACATATTTATACAGCAAATGAAACATTAAACCAAATGTTCTGACTGACTCTTGCTATGTCCTTAGGCCTTACCTTTCCCATTTGGCTGGGTCACTTACATCACATCTCCTCACAGGGAACTGCTAATTCTCAATCTTAGTATATGAATCCTGACTGCTTATCTGACTTTTATATTTTAGTAGTTAGGATTCTGACTTTGCACATTCTAGCCTTTGTCTCTTTAGGTCTTCAAGGCTTTTGATCCTGATGCTATAATTCATAGGTATAGACAGGCCAGCCAAAGGCTTGAGAATTTTTTTTCTTAAACACATATGGTATACACAGCACATATCTTTGGCTAAGACCTCTCAGATAATTTAGTTTGCTGAGCTAAAATTTTGAATAAGCAAAATTTAAAGAAAGATAATATTTCACATACTACAGTTTTATGCCTTTATATAATTCGTCACAAGCTACCTTTTGTTATAGGTGTGTGTCTATTCATATTTAATTTTCAAAACTTCTATTAGAATATAAGCTCTGAAAAGCCAGAATAATACTCTCCTTGTCTTTGTAACTCCCTTAGCACGTAAGAATCAAAGATTTCATAAAGATTTCATTAATTTAAAATCTAAGGTTTAGTTTTTTTCACCAGTAAAATAAGGATCAATCTAATTTTAGGAGTTCTTGTGAGGGGTAAGAGAAATAACATATTCAAAATACCCAATAGCATGCTTAGCACACAGCAGTTGTTCACTTCCAGCACCTAAAGCAGCAGGTCTAAATAAAAGACACTGAATGGATTAGTTTAAGTAAAGAAAGACTACAAATTAGCTAAGAGCTCTAGTTTGATGATGACTTTGCTGCCTCCACAAGGTTTGCACCAAGTGTATTTCTCTATTTTTAGCAACTGAGCATATTTACCTTTGGGATATAGCTCAAGTTCCTATTACAAATAGGCACATGATAAACAGAATAAGAAATTTGGAAAGCAAGAAATAATAGAAAAAAATTTATAAGTAAAACTTCAGAAGGACATATTTTGAATACATTTAGAACATAACATCTTATGTATACAGTTCCCCAAAACACTCAAATCAAAGTAATAATTGACCTACCACGGGAGTTTACTTTTAAAGTCATTCAATCTTTTTGCTTTTCCAAAAGTATGATAAATGAAAGTTATACAATTTATATAATTTAACAGTGAGACAGAAGCAGCCAAATTATTACACCAAGGTAATGAGTTACAACTGTGAATAAGTTCCTTTAGGAAATGGTTGGTATTGCTTTGGCACTATACAATAAATAATGTTTTAAATGATTAGCATGTATTAGTTTACAGCTGGCAGATGAAAAATAGATGATGTGCTCATCATTATCTTTAATGGAACAAAAACAAAGAAGGTTTACTGCATAGGATTACAGGATCTCAGTTGAAAACTGTGCTGACTGGAGATCATTAAAGTCTTGGACTACAGTGAAGAAGCTTTTCCCGACAACATTTTGATGTTTTGTACAGTACTATTAAGCAGATCATAAACTAGAAAAATTTACAGGAAATTATTATTCTCCAGGATGTTCCAGACTCTAGAGTTCTTAAGTGGCCTGGAAAAGTTAATGTTCTCCCTATTTATCTAAATCAGTGGAAAGTAACAGAATATCAGCAGAGCTCTACTGCAAGGAAAGTTATTATCAAATTTTTATAATAATGTTCCTGAGAAAAAAAATTCAAATTTCTAAGATAAAATTTTCATTTTCTCCAGTATATTCGTTATTAAATTAGTAATTTCCTTGTTTGATTTCTCTGTAGCATCTCAGCAACTCATGTCATTTGAACTTTGCATACAAACTTCTATGAGAGTTCCTGAAGCATTGCTTGTCTTCAATTTATTGAATCTCACCATAAAACTATAATCTGTTGTCTAAAACTCTAGTCTGAGAATTGGTTATGGCAAAATAGTGGGAAACAAGAAAGCCCAAGCTTGAAGAAAAATGTTTTAGGCCATCAAGAAGTATTTGGAGGAATATTCATATCATATTCAGAGATAAAACATGAATAGGTCAAATGGAAGGGAAAAATTGGGGCAAACAAAACCTTTGAAAGAGAAGAGAGAAGCTGAAGTCCTAGGCAGGGCTCTTGATACTGGTTGGGGGATCTAGAGGACCCAAGAACAGAGTAAAGGAACTCTTGGCAGTGTGGTAAATTAAACAATCACAAGAGCAAGAAGATGCTCTTATTTGCATCACCTTATTTTCATTTCATGTAATAATTCAAACAGAGTGTATGCTGTCTTTTGTTAGTACCACACCTGTAGGTACTCTCTTTTTAAGGAACTATTTCCAGATGTTCTTTTCTTTG